TCTTCTGAATATCCTCCTCACGAACCCTCATCTGATGATACCCGAACCTCAAATCAATCTTGGAAAACCAAGATGCACCCTGCAACTGATCGATTAGATCGCTGATCCTCGGGAGTGGATAATGGTTCTTGACTATTACCTTGTTTAACTCCTGGTAATCAATACACATCCGATGTGAACAATCCTTTTTCTTGACAAAAAGGATCGGTGCTCCCCACGGTGAGCTACACGGCCGAATAAATCCCTTTCCCAACAGCTCCTGAAGTTGTGAGAATAACTCCAGCATTTCTGGCGGCTCAAGGCGATAGGGCACCATGGCGATAGGTGCCGCCCCTGGAAGCAAATCCATGCGAAACTCTACCGGCCTCTCGGGAGTCACACCTGGTAACTCCTCGGAGAAAACATCTGGAAACTCGCTAACCAACAGAACCTCAACAACAATACTCGGTCTCTCCATAACATCCCGTGTATCTGACACATATGCCAAAAAACCCACGCAACCCTGCTGCAAGCTCTGCCTTGCCCGAGCAGCCGAACAAAATGTTGAGCCATATCGGGTACCCTTGTCGAATACTGTAAGTACTCCCCCACTAGGATTTCGGATGGTCACCAGCTAACGCTCACAGTCGATCATGGCCCCGACTCTGCTCAACCACTCCATTACCACAATGACACAGACATCCCCCATCACGACAGGCACCAAATCTATTGGAAACTCGACTCCAAAAATCTCAAGCACACATCCCGGATCACATCAGTCGCAAAAATAGCATGCTCATCAGCTATGGAGACTCTCAAAGGCCGAATCAAGGCCTCACGTCGGCTACTGATGTGACTACTAAATGCTAGTGATACGAAAGATCAACTCACACCCAAGTCAAACAACACTAAAACAGGTACAGAACTCACACGAAAGGTACCTAAACATACCACATATATGCATCATATATATATATATATATATATATATATGTATATATATATAATAATAATAATAATAATAATAATAATAATAATAATAATAATAATAATAATAAGCAAAAGATCACATACCAGCCACAACATCGGGTGTTGCATGGACCTCCTTCGTTGTCAACTGGAAGGTTCTACCGCGAGCCTTCGGTGCCTCGTCCTTCACTGGCCGCCCCTCTAAAGCTCAAGTAGAAGAAGGCATAGATCCCTACACTGATCCCTGAAGTAACTGCGGGCAACCGGCCTTTCGATGGCGTCTGGTTGCAATGAAAGCAAACCGAAAATCCCTTGGCGCAATCCCTAGCGATATGCCGCTCCTTTCCGCACTTGTAACACACACTTGATCTGCATGGTCCATCATGGATCTTGCTGCACTTCCCACAAGTGCTGCCCTTCTGACCTCCCGATCTCACATCAGTGGGCTTTGCCCGCTTCGCTGTCAGCTGAGACTGTGCCAGCTGCCTGTCCCTCCTCTACGACTCCGCCTCCTCCCTGGCCTGAGTCTCCAGCTCAATCTCCCTCTTCCAATCATTTTCCTAGAGCTTGAAAAAGGTTTAGTATGTCGAGTTCGCCACGAACTCACAAATTTCTATCATCAAAATACTTAGATATCGGCTCATACGTGCCTAATCTGTGGACATGTGCTCAGGGAAAAACAACACCCTCTCATGAAACATTCGGGTGATCGCAGTAACAGACTCAGTCCCCTGCTTGAGGGACAAGAACTCCTGGGCCAACTGTTCCCTCTCCACTGGGGGAACGTAATCATCTCGAAACATAGTGGTGAACCTCTCCCAAGTCACCGCCTTAAGCTCTACAGTATAAAAGTCAGCTATTACAAACTTCCACCAATCCTTCACTCCCAAGCAAAGTTGGTTCAGTGTGAACCATAACCTCAAATGCTCCAGACAAGAACACGTGTAGAAGCATCCTTCAATGTTAGAAATCCATCTCATCGCTGCTATCGGATCCTGAGTCCCATCAAACTCTGTTGGATTCCTGTTGCTAAACTCCCAGTACAACAACGAGTCACCCCCTCTTTCCTAGCAGCTGCAACGGCTGTGGTGGCCGTAGCAACAACAACATCGGTAAGAGCAGTGTACCGCTCATCAAATGTCTCAATCAACGTGGTCTTGATAGACCCAAATATCTCTGGTATCTCAGCCCGAATGGCCGCAACCACCTCATCATGAATCATCCTGCGAATCTTATCATCGCTAACACTACTACTCCCTGGAGTGTGGTGCGTACCCACCATGATGTCTCTGAAACAGAACACAAAAGAAATCAGACTCTCGCTTGAGTATTCTCTTGCTTGACCACTCAGCCCTACTTGTTCCTGAGCACCCTAAGGATTCTTACTTGGGCTGCTTGCTGACCCGGTGTTTCCAATAGTACATGCCCTATAATACCTTCCACACCACATCAAAATTCACCCTAAGTCCTCCTCCTAGGATCCTAGATCGCAAGTACTCTATATCTTGCTGAACACAGGCTACGATCTAATAGACCTCTCATAAGCTCCTCTCTGCTACCTACTCACACTTGAAGTACTTCACAGTAGCAGTAACTTCTAGGCTACGACATCACAAATCAGGCCACTCTAGTCCTAAATATGAATACCAAGCATACTCTATCATGCATAACACATCTCATAATATCTCATAGCACATAATGTAAGGGTATTTTGGGAAATCACCATTCGGGCGTTGGCTGATTGTACACACTGCTCTTTTCTGCTCTTTTGAATCTTTTACTCTTTTTAGAAAAATCGTTTCTTTTGAAACATTTTCTCAAATCCTCAGTTTGAGTTGAAATATGCCCGAAGGTGTATCGAATCTCTCAAACCAAGGCTCTGATACTAACTTGTAACAACATAAATTCTCAAACCAAGTTTTTCATTTTTAATATTAATAAAAACACATGTCTCACCATTAATTCTCAAAAACCCAATACAAGTTTTCAAACCAATTGTTCAAATCCAGGATCCATAAACATAACTTCAAATCCCAAGTGTGTCTACAATCATGCTGGTGCCATCCTGCGATCCTTCGGGTACCTGAAACACATAACACATAACACGGTAAGTACGAATGCTTAGTGAGTTCCCCAAAATACCACATACAACAATTCGCCACTTGAGGCTATACTCTGTACGAACCTCTGGTTAGTGTGTCTCAGTGGGACCCTCCAGTCTCGTAGCTCATTGTCACAATACACATAATCTCAAACAATGACCTTCCGGTCCACATATAGATACCACCCTAGGTAATGTATAGCAAGAAGACTCACCTCGTTAAACTCGAATGATCTCGAACTCAAAACACTTATCTAGCCTCCGCCTAATCATACACATAAATTATCTCTAATTAATAATGGCTCTCAAAGGCTAGACTAATCCCTCCTATGATCTCTCAGAAGGCTAAAAGACATTCCACCCCTCTAATAGTCCAAACGTCCACTTGTTGACTAAACCCTAAAAGTCAACGAAAGTCAACCCTTAAGAGTACGCGGCGCGTACTCGATCCCTACGATGGGCGTACTCGACCACTATGCAGACAACGAGCTGATTTCACCCTACGCTCTACGTAATGGGATTTACGCTCAGCGTACGTCCCGGTTTCACTATTAACTTATTTATGGTCTTAATCAGTTAAGACCTTGGCTCAAAAGACAGATCTAGACCCCCCACAGCCTCCTAATCCATAAAGTCGAGGACTTTAAACTTTTGCATGGCAGTAAAGGTCATCACCAACCAAAACAAACCATTTTCTTCACTAAAGAGCTCATATCTCATGCATGGCTCACTCCTAACATTCAAGATCGGATTTTTATGGATCTATAACACTTAATACACTGAATAAGGACAAATCATGGTATATGGAGATCCCTTTGCTCATAAAGTCTCCACCTTTGCGACAAAAACCCTAGAAATGACCCATAATGCACAAATCAAAAAGATTGAGAAAGCTTTGAGCTTTTTACCTCCAACTGATGCTCCAACTTCTGAAAAGCTTATATCCAAGGCTTGCACACCAACTCTAGCTTCTTTAATGACACTTATTCTCTTCAAAGTCATACAAGAACACTATCAAGCTCAAACACACACACACACACAAGGTCTAGAATGAGGGTTTAGCACACTTAGGGTTTTCTCTCTAGATATGGTGGCTAAAAGTGAGGCCAAAACGTTTCTTATATAGGGCTCACCCCCACAATTAGGGTTTCCATCTGGACGTAGTACGCCCAGTGTACACTATGGTACACCCAACGTACTGGGTAGAGTTCGCATCAAGAACACGCTCACAAGTACGCGCAGCGTAATCTCCCTTACGCCCATCATACTAAAAAGCCACACTTTTCTTTCAAGGACTGATTTTGACAAGTTGGGGAAAGAACAAGATCAAAGGAATATACATGAATTCCAAGAGGTTACATTGGAGTTTGAGAGCCTAGCACCAATAGTGTGGATGCCTCGAATTGAAGTCACAAATCTCCAAAAATTTTGGAAACTTGAGAGAATAGTAGCACACTTCTAGAAATTAGTCACACCTTAGTTCTCACACACACTAGTACCATTTCAAGTGCCAAGGACCCCTTTATATAGTGGGGTTAATATCACAAAAGTCCTATGTTTTTGGCACTAAATTGGAAAAAGCCCTGAATTTAATTTTTCATTTACAGTGACCACGACATTTTCTTTGAGTTATCGTTTGAGGGCAAATACCCGGTCACCAGCAGGTAACCTCTACCATCCGGTCACCACTAAGCTATTCTGTAACCATCAACTTTCACAAACCATCACTGCTAAAGGGTTTTTCATGCATTCGAGAAGGTTTTGATGCTGAGAAGAATTTCACAGTCCCCTATTTCGCAACTTGAAGCTTCGAAATCGTTGGTGAAGTAAGGTTGACGTAGAAAGGTACGTGTATGGAAACAAGAAATTGATGATTATGATGGTGGTTATATTCGTCTATGGAGTTCCAAGTTTGAACTAACAAGTTGTGTTTTTGTTTTTTATGAAACATATGGCTTCTACTTCTGGAACTAAGAAGCCTAAAGGGCCTAAGCTCCCTGAGAAGACATATCTTCCAGACTCTGACTCTGATGAAGATGCATTTGACTTTAGCTTCTTGGATTTTTCTGAAGAAACTTTCAAAGCCCCCTCAAGACTATGTGATGATCAGTTTCTTAACTTATTGTGTGATGAAAACGTATTAAGGAGGAGTATTGATGGAATGGTAGATGATGGAGACATTCCTGGTGTCCAACAAAAAGAGCATGCCCACTTAGATGAGGACAATGAAGATGTTGGTGTGGAGTAAGGGGTGCATGATCCCAATGTTGACTGGAAAGAGATGAGGCCCCGATTAGGACATTGTTATGGAGGGGTAATTATAGGCCTAACATACAACTGAATCTTAATGAATTTGGGAAAGATATGAGGTAATATAAGTTTTTATTGGCATGTATCCAAAAATATTAAGTATGTATTTATATGTGTACTTTGTTTGTTTTGTGTTTAGGTTGTGGATAGTGGTGCCAAGTGGTGGTGATGTGTTTGAGACTAGGTATGGCTACAATGGATACAAGGTTGATTTAGCCAATCACACTTGCCCCTGCAACTTGTGGAGGTTGTCGGGTATACCATGTGTGGATAGTCAAGCTGCAATCAACTATGTCCATAAAGATCCAAGTGAATTCATTTCATCTTGGTTCCACAAGGACAAATATGTTGCAACCTACATTCAGAACATACAACCTGTTGGTGGAAGCAACTTGTGGCCAGTGACTGAGTTTATTAAACCATTACCACCCCTAGTTAGAAGGATGCCTGGAAGACCCAAAGTAAACAGAGTGAAGCATGCATCTGAATTGGAAGATGCCAAATACCCCTCTCAAAGGTTAAAGGTTACTAGGACTGTGAGGTGTGGAAAGTGCCAACAACTTGGGCATAATAAGATTTCATGCACAAATGATGAGGTACCTAAGCCACCTGTCCCAAAAAGGAAGATTGGAAGACCTAGGAAAGATGGGGGAGGCTAACCTGTCTTTGATCAATTCCCTCCAGTTGAGCCTGCTATACCAACAAGTGATGTAGCTCCTCCCACAGTTTTAGAATGTGGTGATCAAGTTAGTGGGCCTGATGTACCAAGAAGTGATGTTACTCCTCCCCCAGTTTTAGAATCTGGTAATCAATCAGGTGGTCCTAATATTAGTCCTCTAAAAAGGACTAAGATGATGGCAATGAGAGGAGGGAAAACTAAAGTGTCTGGATCAAGGAACAAAACACCAAAGAAAACACCTAATGGTAAGAAACATTAGAGTAATGCAAAGGAGGATGTGTCCCTAACCTGTGATGAGGATTTTGTTGATCTTTTTACCCATGCACCTAATGGTAAGCAAGGTATGAGTCAAGCAACAGAGGATGTTCAGGAACAAGAACATGATGACAATGAGGCGAAGGTGAGTGAAAGAGGTACTTTACAGGAGTTGTTGATGTCTGGATATACACATGCTGATGCAATGGCTACTATGAAAGAGGTATGTTCTGGTAATCACTATTTTTGGCTTTCATATTGTAGATTTACTAACTACCCCTCCATATTGTAGGTTTATGGAGATGTTGAGGAACAATAGATTGAAGAAAAAGAGGCTAAGGAAGGAGGTGAAGATAGAGAGGTTGAAGAAGAAGAAGTTGAAGGTATACAGGTTGAGCAAGAAGAAGTTGAAGGCATACTGGTTGAGGAAGAAGGATTTGAAGAGACAGAGGTTGGAACAACAGTCCTACCCTCTAGAAGAAGTTATGGTGCTTACAATTTCCATTGGGAGAAAAAGAGGAAACCCTCTGAAAGAATTAGGAAGTTGAAGCTCAGGAAAATGGTTAAAGATGTTGATGGTGGTGGTTCCTCCAAAACCCATTGGGTTTTAGAGTAAGGAGTTGTGTTTAAGGGTTTAATGGGCATTAGTAAATAGGTTTCCCTTTTTGTAAACATCTACTTTTTGTGTTTAAGGTTTCAATGGGTAGAATGGGCATTAGTAAATAGGTTTCCCTTTTTGTAAACATCTACAAATGGTACACTTGTCTTTTGGTAACAAGCTTCCAATTCATATCCATAATGTTCGATAGAATTGGAAGTTTGGTTAAAATTAGGTTAAATGGTATGATAGTGGTTTTTAGGAAGCATTGTAAAGTACATTCCCATTTTTGGGTTGTTAAATATTTGGTATGATTGTTAAGTTATCAATATATATATGCCTTGATCACTATAATTGTTGTTACCTTCCATATTTTGGTTATTTTGGTAAGTAGGTTTATATATATGTATGTGTTAAAGGACTTAATACATTGTTATCATTAATACATAATAAGTTGTTGTCATTGTCATCTCTTACAAAACCAAAAAATTGCCATACATAACACATGCATCTACTTACTGCATAACTTGACTAAAATACCCTTACACCTAAACTACTACTACCATTCCACCTGAACCTAACTAATGCCCACAACTTCACAGTGCTTTAACCATAACATTGTGAACCATAAACCCCATCACTGTCACCACCACCAAAAGCATGACCATCATAAGTAGCTCCACCTTCAACAAGTTTAAAATATCCACTTGAAATTCTTTGTTGTTCTTGGCCTCCTCCGAAAGCTTCAAAACCTCCATTGTAAATGCTTTATTGTTGTTAGCCTCCTCCAAGTCCATATGAAACTTCCATATAGTTTCCTTGTAGTAAGTGTTTGGCAGGGGTGGATCAAGCCATAAAAAAGCCACATTTTTTTGGAGTCCTGCACAACAATCACTTGTTCATAATGCTTCAACAAGACCACAAAAAATTACTTAATATTACCTGATAGTTTGGACACCCCCTGAATTTCCTCCATGGATTATCGACAGTTTTGGAGATCGAGAATGTCGCAGGTGCATCACAATCGCATCTCAAATCTTCAGACCAATGATTCCTTAAAGCCCACTCTTTGTAACCTTGTGTGTGCGTGTTGGAGGATCTTACCATCTTTTTGATTTGAAGTTGGAGAGAAGAATCGACCCAAAACTACCTAATAGGACTGGAAGTTGATCATTCAAGAAGGATCATGTCAATTAAAAGAGGTGATAGTGCTTTCCAAGGGTTGCAGATGTATCACTAGTATACATAATAGGACTGACAGATTAAGTTGTTGATTCCAATCAACCAAATGTCTTGAAGTTGTTAGTAGTAGTTTGGAGTAACTAAGAGTCCCTATCATAATTTGACAAGAGTTCAATTTTAGGAGTGACTTAGTGTTAAAACTACCTAAGAAGTAGTAGTTATGTGATAATCAGTTGTAAAGGCAACCCTCAGATGTTAATGAAAGATAGACCTCCAAGGAAAAAATCTAAGGATTTCCTCAGAGCTTTTGATATATGGTAAGATGGTAAGATATTATTGAGGAGCTGTTCAAGATTTTTGGTTGCAAGCTTTCGAATGGCGATAGAGAACACAAAAGGATCATAAGAAATTAATATAAATTCCTACACACGTTCATTTAGATAAGAGTCTTGAGTGCATGTGAAAATGTGTCAATTTTGGCTTCTTGGTAGACTTCGTGCTAGTCTAGTTATTCCATTAGTCGATAAGCGTAAGAATTAATATAAAAATAGGATTGAATTTAAACATTTCTAGGTTGACATTGGATGAATGTTATACTTTTTCATTTGTTTAGTGAAGTTTAAACACCTCTAATTAGTTGTAGCCTCAAAGTTTAGAAAACAAAGATCGGCTGTGATAAGTAGATATCAGGAACGATGATTGCTAGGATAGTTAGATAGTAGATCAGACACTTTAGAACCATCGTAGGGTTGATCATGAACCTTGAGGCCTGAAAGGGGATGATGACAAGAATGATCTAACATCAAAATCTCAGTAGTTGGATAATGTCACGACGTATGGTGAGCAAGCATAAGGACAAATTGTGCCAAGAATAGTTATATCTTAATGTAGGAAAAGTATTTGAAAAAGGTTATTGGTGACATAGTGTTCATTATAATCTAGTAGTTTGGAAGATAAGAGAGCCTTATAATGAGTCTGTCACCAGTACTGTAATATTGGTCCCAAAGTTTACAAGCCAGCAAAGTTGTTATAGTGGTTTAGTTGAATTTCAGGATGTTGGAACATCTGAACTAGGTAGAGAAACCACTAACAATCTAGATTATTGTGCGTTTTAAGGGTATATCATAAAAATCTGTTGAAGAATGCAATGAAAGAACGATATATCATAAGCCTTTTAGAGGCGTGTTTTAGAAAATTAATTGAATTATCAGATCGTTTCCTTAGTTAATCGCTTTATAAAGAGTCGATTGTGCAAACATTTTATGTCTGAAGGTGATCGCCAATTGTAGTATGTGATTTTTGAAAATCTAAACCGAAGAATTCTTGATTTTGGAAATTTTTGTGAGGAATTCAAGAGTATGTCTATGGTAGAAAACGAAGTTCTACCGCTAAATAAGTACAAATAGGTGAATTTGATGCAACAACTTCAGCTAAGATCACAAGTTGATATTGATGAAACCAATTTGGTGACTTCTAGGAGCATAAGGTGCTGGATTTCGAGGACAAAGCCTTTGAAGTGTGGAAGAGTTGTAACACCTCATTTTTTTTCATTCCAATAGAGTTCAATATAAAGCGTCGTTTACAAAATTCAAACTACAAATATATTACTTTTTAGCAAAATTAATCATCATAAGCATGTAGGAAACATCTATACATTTACGTAGATATACGAATTGCCCGAATCCCACTTTGTATGATATAGTTATGCTTCCTCAAAGATTTATAATTAAACACACAAAACTATGTGCATCGTAAAATATGAATCAGAGATAGATTACTTATTAGCCTAAGTAACCTAAAAGAAAGTCATAGTAGTCATAATGCCGAGAGCATACATTTTTAGAATGTCTAAATCTGACTTAATATAAGGAATTTATGATTTTTTGAAGTTTCACCATAGCAGTGTGTGCCACAGAAATTGAAATTAAGATCGTTTGATTGTTAGGAAAGAAAACTCTAAATGAGAGTTGAATATCTCATCGATATGATTTCGTCGATATAAATATAGTCGAGAACTGAGTCCATATGAAAGAGTTGTGGATTTTACATGGTTGCTAGCAGTATAATCTTCATAGAGGGGCAAATTTATTGTAGATTAAGAATTGGCCGATGGAGTCTAAATGAAAGTGGTTGAACTTGTTGATAATGATGTATGGATATAAAGAACGTCAAAAATGTAGTTTGTATGATAGAGATACGATTTTTAGAAGATCTGTGATTTTACCTGCTATGGGGTGAAGCGGCCATTTCTAGCGTGACACGTGGTGAAACCTAGTAGACATACACAACGTGCCTCCCTGGTATGAATTGGTGATTTTGGATTCATTTGTTCCTTACCAAATTTTTCACTGCAGAAACTCTCTAGACATCCCTCTAACCTCGGATCCAATATTCCAGAGGTTTAGAGAACTTTAGCAAGTCTCTACAGTATCTACGAGCTACATAACAAAAGCTTCCGGTTTTAGAGTTTTTCTAACGCAAATGTGACTTTTACCAATGATTATAAAATATATGGAGATATCTAATTAATCAAGAATAAGTCAGAAACCTTTGAAAAGTTCAAAGAGTTTAACATAAAGTGAAAAATCAATTAGGCAGGAAGATCAAGATGCTCAGATCCGATAGGGGTTGTGAGTATCTTAGTATCGATTTGCTTCAAAGTAAAATAAACCATTATAATAACCATTAATAGATCTATTCTCATTACTAAAAGAATATCTCAAACCTTGTCTGTACAACCAATGAAAAGAAATAATATTACTCGTCATTTATGACGAGTAGCAACAATTATTCAAGTCTAAACATAATCCACTACTAAGCTTCAAAGAATAAACGCCGATCTTGGTAATATGTGATGATCTCCTATTGCTCGTTATCATTTTCATCTTCCCAAGCTCCACATTCCTACTCTTTCGTAGTCACTGCAAGTCATAGAAAATTTGAAAACCACATCCTGTATCAAGGACCCAAGAATTAGAAAGCGATGAATTTGAGAAAATATTGTAAATACCTACCAAGGTAGTCTTAATCTTGCCATCCTTAATGTCTTGCCGGTAGTTAGGGATGCTTCTCTTCCAATGTCCCTTGTCTTAGTATTAGAATCACGTTGCATCCTATGGATCTGGGGTAGGGGGAGCATAATTGTTTTTCCTTTGGGTCCACTACTAGAAGACCCATTATGAGACTTTCCTTCCAATTTTTCTTAGAGGGAGCTTTCCTCTTTTCCCCATCCTTTATCCGATCGCCATGACTGGAGCAGCAGCAGCAAGAGGAGTGGATCCAATAGCTTTTCCCTTTAATCCACTTTTAGCAGTTCTCAACAAGCCTTGAAGTTTACTCAAGGTCACTTCCTCTTTGCTCAAATGATAAGTCATTTTAAATTGATCATAGCAAGGAGGCAATGAGTGTAAGACTATGTGAATAGCCAACTCCTCATCGAAGTTCACATTTAGCTTGAGTAGATGATCCACATATCTTTGCATGCGTTGCAGGTGGGTCGTGATGGACTCTCCATCCTTCATCTTGGTGGTAATGAGTGACCTGACTATCTCATACCTTTCTTGATGTGCTCTTTGATGGTACTTCTACATCAAGTCCTGCACATATCATAAGGCCGATAGTCCTCATAGAACCATTGTAGCTCATGAGTCATAATACCCACCATAATATAAGACACTTTGGTAGCATCCTTGTAGTGAGCCCTATACTCAACTATTTCTTCAGGAATATCTTCTGACTCATCTATCACCTTCAGCTCCTTGTCGAGGACATATTCCTTTTCCTCGAAACGCAAGGCCATTCGGATGTTACGGATCCAATCATTAAAATTGGTATCATCGAATGTCACCTTGGCATAGATGCTCAAGAGCGAGAAAGTATTGGAGGAACTGGAAGCGTTGTTTGAGGTAGACATCAAAAGAAGAAGGACAATTTTTGATTAGATAAGGAATTCTTAATATAACACCCAAAATGAAATATTAAGGCTAGGATCCAACACAATAATTCACAATTCGGAAAGAGGGATGTTGTAATCCAATTGTAAATTATTTAAAGGTAGGTAAATGACGATATACCAATTCTACCATGAAAATGAAATTTTAAATGAATTAGGTTTCGAATGCAAATGAAATTCCTAGATCTTTTGAGATTTATTGACCTATTCAATGACATGTTTAATCTCGATTATGCCCTTCAAATTTGGGACTGGGATACCAAGGATCACAAAAGGGTGTTAATAACCATGAAAATTAGCTTGGTATTCTCGATGTCATTTACCACCTAATCAATGTGTCGGTTAACCACACACGCTCCATTGATCAATGATAATTTACGAGCTTCCCATTGCCACCCTTTGTTAATCCAAGTTAGTGTGTCAGTTAACCACACACGCTCTAGTAACGACTTAACAAAGTGCAACGTTCAATTTCATGGATTAACAAAAAATTCACATTTTCCAAAAGTAATTAAGATCGGGAATTTATAAAAGCATTTAGTTACTTTATATTGATCATTATACTTATTAATGAGAGATTAATGTCCTATCCTACCCGTTCGACTAACGACCTTCCATTAATCAAGGAAGCGGTGGGTGAGAGTGGACACCAATTCAACCACCATTTTATAGGCAATTTCCTTATACCCCCTTTATAGATCAATTTTGTGAATGAGGCCGACCAACGGTAAGACTGACTTTCTGATATATATATATATATATATATATATATATATATATATATATATATATATATATATATATATATATATATATATATATATATAAAAATTAAACTTTTAATCTTATAATAGTATCAGCGTGTATTTTAAACTTTTAAAATACTAGGGTTCTAGAATTTAATCTTTTAAAATTAAACTTGTAACACCGTAAATTTTCAAACAAAATTTTCATTTTCAAAACACAATAAAAC